TGGCCACTTTCAACAACTTTAAACTTTTAAATTCAGCAGTTACTGAAATTAAAATATTAGCTGCTATGTGTGTGTGTGTGTGTGTGTGGGGGGGGGGGTTAAATTGCTAATGTTATGTCATTAGAATAAGGATATAAGCGTGACAAGTGTGGAACTTTAATCTTTTTAGAGTGTAGAAAAGATGAATGGGAGAGGCAGGACAAAAAGGTACACACAGAAAATGAACAGAGATCCACACAGAAGGGAGGCAATCCTAACAGGACAGCCAAAGGAAAACAAAATATGCTTAAAAATATCACTTCTCGCATATCTTGATCAATTTAATTTCATACCAAGTGACTGAATGACTGCCTGTTATTAAGAACAAAGAAAGGAACTATTGTTGCTTTGGTTACCTTAAAATATTTGACACTATTTGAACTTGTAAATAGTTGATGACATATCATTCACAATAGACTGATTCCATTCAAATTTGAACTTGACATTTCACAAATTTAATGAGAATTACCACAAAGACACAGCTACTAAAAGGGAAACAAAATAACAACAAAGAAATGTAAAATAAGTAGAAAGAAACACAAGGTAAGTAGAGATAGACACTAAACAACTACACAATGACACAGGACTTCAAAATGATATTAAATCATTACAAAGATACATAATAACAACAAAGAGACAAAATAACCACAAAAGACAAGTTAATTACAAAGACATATACAATGAGAAGAAACAAGCAGAAATAACTATAAAGAGTAACCAAATGACTGCTAAGAGACACAACACTACGACAAGAAACAAAAGACACAGAATAACTCCAGTTAAACGTTAACTACAAAGGCGTACTAAAATTCACAAAACTAATACAAAGAGGTAGCAAAACACAACAAAAATACATGCAGTGAGACTTAAAATGACCAGAAAGACACAAAAAACATGGAAAATGATGACAAGTGGGGAAAAAGCACCACCTTCTATCTCAGCTGAATACTGAAGGTTAACTTCAGTATTTTCAACCAGCAGCAGGACATGAATGTATCAGTCGTGGTCTTTTGAACCTGTAAAGAAGGGTGTGTTCTGTGGCTCAATGCCTCGTAATTTTTCCATTGCTATAAACTATCTGGTTACTCATTTGAGAAATTAAACCCATTTGATTTAATAGTGCCCCAGTTTTTTTTTTTTTTTAGTTAACCCTGTTAAAACCATGTTTAGATGTTATACAGTTCAGTACACAATAACCACCCATTACATTCATTTAGATGACAAAAGCTGAAATGTAGAAGCTTTATTGAATCAGAATTAATAAAGTAAATGTCACATAATTCCAAGGCTCAGTGTCTCTGCGTACTTCTGGTAACATAACATAATAGCAGGGTTGTAGTTTTGGATGGATGCAGAAAGGTCAAGCCCTAAATCCTACAGTTACAGTAGGATATGTTCTGGGTTATTTCTGGTCAACTGACCTACAATTTCCTACAACCGCTAAAACCAGTACATGCTATTGCTAAGGACGGTTTTGCAATAAGAGAATATCCTTTTACAAGTGGCACAGGGGCTATTCTAGGGCTAATTGAGGTATTTATAGAGCAAATCACACAGTATTAAAGTATTTTGATCATGTGTTTTAAGAACAGCATTTACCCCATTTAAACATACTTACTTAACTGCCTAACAGTAACAATCAGTTTAAAGATGAAATCTTGTATTTAAAAGTTTGGTAACAGTTGTGTGTAGTTAAACATTTTAGGGGCTAGATTGTGTGGGATTAGGGTAGAGAGTTAATGAGACGGTTTCAACATTTACAGTAAATGATTACAGTGCTAACAGCTGTACTTTAAAATACTGACAGGACCATTTGAAATATATGGATTTACAGAGAAAATTGGGTTATGTATGGCTTGAGAGGGCTTTATATTTTCATGCATGTTGTCATTGTGATAGCCTGTTAGCACAGAGCTAGGTTTTACTACCATGAAATAAATTAATCCACACTATTTACATGGTGATGTTACATTTGCAACCCAAATGGCTGTACTTAAGATTAGCTTTTGTAAGACAACAAAGGGCCAAATGCATATTCATAAGCACGAAAGACAAAAGGAGGGTGAGGCAAAGGGTTACAAAGTTTTGAAGGGAAATGCTTTAGAAAATACCCAACTGGAAATTCTGGGTGCTCAAGTTTCATTGTTGAAAAGTGAAAATTTTAGTTTTCACATATACATAATGCACCTTACTAACAGTGGCTAGTTTGAGAGAAAATAACAAGTAAACACAGGTGTTACTAATCCATTTAACCAGGGCTTTGACCCAAACAGAATATCACTAATGTCATTAGTAACACCTGTCTTACCTACTGTTCATGTCAAAATAGCATACTGGGGAAAAGCGCGATACATTCACAGACCTAGGGCTGTTCGGATGACCATATAAAAACGTCTAACGTTTCATTTTATGCTATTGTTTGTTTTGTGGTGTTGCAAAATAAACTGTTTACAGCAATATTTTTTCATAGTTTTGATGGTCACTGTAGTGGCTATATTAATTTCTTAAAGTTCTCTATTTCTCTTATATTTAATATAACCACACTACAGATGGACAAGCGCTTGTTTTTATGTGTTATGGTTAGCAACAAGGACGGTAACACCATCGCGTGTCCGCTTGTTTATGTTCCACATAAACCTCGCAATAAAGCTCAAGATCCTGTTGAAACTGAATCACGTGAAAGAGCAGATTATTTACGGATGAGAAGTAAAAAAAGCCGCCAGGTGCTAAAAAATAGACCTTAGACTCAAACGTCCACTCTGCAGCATCCTGTGTAATAAATACTCACAAAGAAAACGGCGGCTGTTACAACTTATGTCTAAAAATGTATCGTTTCATGCATCTGTTAAAACACTCGACTCCAGCTACATGATGGGCAGCTGGAAACACTTCACGCAAGTCGAGCTGCCTGAGATTCACAGAATTTACAGAAAATGTTACATTTTTGTGATTTATATCGTTATCGGACGATAGAATTCTTATATCGGGATATGAGATTCGCACAGCCCTACACAGACCTGCCATTTAATCTAAACAAGAGGCTACTTTTTGTTCGTTTTCAGGAGTTGTACTTTTAATGTGGTATTTGACAATAGCTCTTTCATATTCTCGTCATAATTTTAGATTGTATTTTAAATTAAATAACGTAAGGGGTTTACATCAAGTGTCTTTGGACATTTTATATAAACTGTATGATTTATTCTCAGTACCTAGATTTGAACTAATCTTCCATGATTGTAGCTAGCACTGAAACATATTTTTGAGACGTATTTACGCCCTGTAATGATTTACTCCTGTGCATTGTACTGCGTTTACCAGAATGTTAGCACTTAGACCACGGTGGTTCAAGTTTTTAAAAAAAGTTCCGGTGATGGTTTAACTCCTTTGTGTTTTAATATCCTGCCGTTAGTCTGCATTATTTGAACTGAAGGGTTTGGTAGCTGACATTCCTCTGTGCTTCTTGGTACGGCTCGGAAACGGCAGGGAGCGACTGCTTCCCTCTGCTGCACACCGAAGGCAGAGCTGCTCTACTGCTCTACTGACCCAGTTTCTGAAAGCAGCTGAACGAGAAAGAATATTGGGGGGGACAAATCTCGAGGAACCACGTGACAATATAAGCTCCTCGAGGCCAGTTTGGTGAAGGTTAGGCAAATATTAATATTAGCACCAGGCTTAGATAAGACGACGGGTTTTCGCAACCGCTTGCTAGCAAAGTGTAAAAGTATTTCTGGGCTTTTGGGATGAAGTCGTCGTCATGGTTACAGTGACGTGTTTTTATCGTGAGTGTGAAGTTTGCCGACTAAACTCCCCCCCTCCGCTCGCGTCCCCCTCCCTGGAAACGAGCACCACATAGTACGGGAATGAATGGAGAGGGTGTCACGCGCGTTGCCAGCCGACGCGTTCGGTTTTAGGAGGCAGGTGCCAGCTGCTCGAGACACCGGTGCGACGCACTGTAGCGGCTGGTCCAGCAAGGCTACTGCGACTGCTGCCACTCGGTTAAGTGTTATCGTTACTGCCGCTGTGAGGTCGTCTGCTCTCAATGTCCTCAATGTCCCTGTAAAGTTCTTTTTTTTAAGTAACCTTCACTCAATATAACCTAACTTGCCATTAAAGAAAAAACACGTCAAGGGACGAAAGAAGTTCAGAACTAATTCGTGGAAGAAGGCATACCACTAGTGCTTAATTTATTTTTTCAGCTAATTGAAGTGGGAAAGTAGTTGCCCCAAAGAATATATTAAAAAGAAGCAAAGCTAAGCTACCCACAGTAACCACAACGTTGTCAAGCCGGAGCCCCTACCTGCTGGCCTCTCCGCCGTCCCGTCAGAGCCCCCAGCCGACATGCCTACGGACTGCAGCCGGTGTGCCCGGTGAAGGCTTCGCAGCGCCGCGGCGCATGAGGAGCCACCAGCTGTAGTAGTAGCAGAAGGGAGAGGAGGGAGGTTAGGAGAGCCGGGGTGTCGTATAATTGACTTCATTTTTTCCCTCTCACCCGACTCCTCCTCCCCCCGTATCTGTTTTTTTTTACGAGGGGTGGGGGGGGGGAGTAGAAACGTGAGGGATGGGTAAGAGTGGAACACCCAGGTCCTTTAGGAAACAAGGGAAGAGTTCACACTTGTCTCCTCCTTAATCGCCTGCTCGCTTCATTCACAGCCGTGTTCACTCGACGGTGTTATAAGCTGCTGAGTCCATTCATATCAGCGCGACTAAAAGTCATGAATCAGCGTCACGTTAGTCGGAATGGAGAAAAAAATCTGTCAAAAATAACCTTTTCGCTGCGTGACGATAACATTTGTAGGAAATCGGTTATTTGAATGTACTGCTGTTTTGAAAACGCACCTAAATATGTCAGCTTTTACTGTAAGGGGGTTTATCTTCGTTTTAAACCGCTGTTTTGGCATTTGGATGCTGGGAATAATAGTGGCACAGACTTGAATTTCCATTGGCACACCTTGGATATGTTAAAAGTCTGTCAGGAAGTGGATGGTCTGCCAGGAAACGTGGGATGACGCCGTGACGGCGCTAATAAACGAGCTCTCATTCATACAGCCGGCCTTGGCTTGACAGGACCGGTGAGGGATTGGTTTCGCCGGCGCAGCGCACGTTTTGGTGACCTGAAAAAGTACCGAGTGCGCGTCACCGATCTGACTTTGCTACTCTCTCGCGTTCCTCCAAACAGAGCTGCCACGCGACAGATGTCTCACTCTGAATTTATTTCCTGGAACCAACACGATCACGTTCATGGGCTAACATTGAAGGAGTATATGGGATTAAACCAAGGTGGTCCTGCTAGACTGAGATTTTGAAAACTACAAAGTCGTTTCCTCTTTCATCAGAAGAAACCGAAAACCGTTATGTCCAAGCATGAACGTCTACATACAATAAGCACAACACATTATTTATACACTTATATGTACATACATCAGCAAGAACTTCAGAAAAGCAAACATACCTATTATACCACGGATGTTAAAATCATGGCCCCCTGGGCCTTATGTCTGACACCCATGTAATATTTGATTCCCTTCTGCCCTGCTGCTGGACACGGGGGTTGGGGTCTCTGTGGACCAGGCTTATCCCAGCACATCTTATGGATGCTTGATGGGATTGTTTGGGGAGATGTTTTGGGGTGATGTGGAAGCAAACACATCACCCCACTGCTGTCGGGTAGTGTCCTTTCAATGGAGTAGGGGTCCCTGTTGTTCACGTCACCCATCTGTGATCTTAATGGTAGAATATGCGCAAACATTAAGCTAAGGTAGAAAGTTGGCTAAGACTGGGTGAAAATGTCTGTAATTTGGGCGGTTCCTCATATCCCTGTTTCATAAGAATACTTTAAATAAATCTGTTTTTGTTTATTTAAACAAAGGCAGAGGCAAAGGTGTTAAATATAAAAGTCTAATTATTCTAACACCAAAATTCCCCAAAATTTGAGATAAAAAAAGATTTCAGTAATTCGTTATCGCAGATATCGACGATCTTTGGCTCTCACCTACATAGTGTAATTCGAGACTTTTGCACGAGACTTTACGTAAGGGGGGAAGGCTGCACGTGCGAGCGAGAAACGTGTTGACCTATATATTATATAACTGGACAGTCACGTGGCGCTTGGCTCGTTAACCCATTTAAAGCCCGTCGGCAGGGAAAGTAGTGTCCCCGTGCACTTTAGATACCCGGAAACATCGCAAGTGGACAGGAAACACCTCAAGACGCCAAGACACGCGACATTATACGCGTTTAAGCAGGGATGGTGACGGTTATATGACGTTAAAGTGGAAAGCTATCAAAAATGCACAGCTTCGAAAATGACTTTTTATAGCCCAGTTTGTAATGAGAGGTTCTGTTGGATGTCGCTGCAAGCAGGCAGGTGTGCTTTTCAGTTGTTTATTTGTATCGTATTCACTCCTGTCACACATGGAAACCTATATGAGTCCTGGCGGTTTGTTTTCGGCCCTGGACGTGTATGTTTTCGGGGCGCAGTGACTTGTACTCCAGGTTTAACGTGGGCTATTTATGCCTGTTGGCTCTTGGCTTGCTATCCTGCTTGTGACCCCTCTGTGTCAGAACACGCTGCTCCCAGCTCTTCAGAAGGGAGCATTGTTATAATCATAAAGACAAAAAAAACATCTTTCTCACCATGGTGCCATGTTCCACCAGTAATGTGGTGTGAATTTTACCCTCACGCAGCAGTAAAACAACCTTATCAGCCCACATACAGATGCACTGCTTCGGTAAGGGCTCTTTAACCTCTAATTCAGGATGTGTTTCCAAGGTTTTGCCTTCCTACTTGGTTAAATAATCCGCATAAATAATTTAAAATACAAATGTCTTAAACTTTAAACTTCAAATTCTATTTATTAAAAAAAAGAAAAAATATAAAGCAGCTACTTAACGGGTAGACAACTATCAATGCACGATAATAACTGGGTTGTGACATGGCAATATCATCCCTGCATCAGGTGCACTTACGAGAACTTACATAACCTAGTTGTTGTGAGCTCTCTGCAGTAACCTGATTTCTTCATGGACACCAGGAACCTGGTTTCTTAATCGGGGTAAGGGATTATAGAAAAACCCGGTTAACACAACTGTGTTTTTGCAGGGAGGAGGAAAAAAAGGTGAATTCTTGGCTTATCTTATTCTAGGCCTGGCTCGTGTTCAGGAGTCAATAGGGAAAGCACTGTGGTGGGATGGCAGGGGAGATCTGCATCACTGGTTGTAAAACATAAAATGTACAATGAAGCAAATACAAATGTTATTTTTAGTCCCCATACAGTTAAGTGAGCAATAATCATTATGTTTTAAGCTGTTCGTGAATAATATACCTGCAAAATAATCTAAATAGACCAGATTTAGAAAGATTGCTTTTAAATGTGCAATCAAAAAGCTGTTCAATACATCCCTAAAGTTAACTTTAAGGTGGCAAGTATCTAAATATCCAAACACATGGCAGCAACTCTGTGCATTTAGGCATGTAGACACGGTCACAACGACCTGCTGAAGTTTAAAGCGAGTATCAGAACGAGGAAAGAGGGGATTATGAACGTGCCATGGTTGTTGGTGCCAGTCGTCTGAGTATTTCAGAAACTGCTGATCTGCTGGGAATTTTCCCGCATAGCCATCTGTAAGGTTTACAGAGAATGGGCTGAAAGAGAGAAAATGTCTAGTGAGCAGCATTTCTCATTGTGAAAGTGTCTTCTTGATATCAGAGGTCAGATGAGAATGGCTAGACTGCTTCAAGCTGATAGGAAGGCAACAATAACTCAACCACTCGGTACAACTGAGGTGTGTAGGCAAGCATATTTGAATCTATTGCACATCAAACTGTAAAGCAGATGGGCTTCAGCAGAAGACCACACTGGGTGTCACTCCTCCACCGAGATTAGACAATATTAGATGAGAAAAACATTGCCTGGTAGGATGCGTCTCAATTTTTGTTGCCAGATTCAGAGGGTAGGGTCAGGATTTGGTATCAGTGGTTCAGGGTGTGGGGATATTCTTCTTGGCAAACTTTGGGTACCTCAGAACCAAATGAGCATAATGCAACACATCAGCAGCTCAGAACATCTCAAAGTGGTTTCTTGGCGATAAAAGGGAGCTTATTATACCCTTAGGGTGTCCAGAGTCACCAGATCTAAATCCAATAGAGCACCTTTTGAATATGGTGGAACAGAGTGCCCAGTGAATGTAAACAGCTATGTATACAACATGTAGCTTCAGTAGCTAGCTAGCTAAACCAGAACATCCATTCATAAGATTTTGATCAGCAGTAAAGCCGCAACAAGAGCTCCCTCTAGTAGCGGCAATAATCATAGCAGGAAGACAATGGATTGACACTGCTTGTGCCTCTATATCAGGGGTAGGCAACTCCAGGCCTCAAGGGCTGGTGTCCTGCAGATTTTAGATGTGTCCTGGATCCAACACAACTGATTTAAATGGTTTAAATACCTCCTCAACATGTCTTGAAGTTCTCCAGAGGCCTGGTAATGAACTATTCATTTGATTCAGGTGTGTTGACCCAGAGTGACATATAAAACCTGCAGGACACCAGCACTTGAGGCCTCGAGTTGCCTACGCCTGCTCTATATATTATAAGAGTTTGATGGAAATGTCTTTTTGAAGTTCAAGTTTTGAAAGTTCTGATTATCCAATGTGCAGTGACCCGCTCAGTGCTGTAACTTAAAACGATGACCCAGGTCAGCGCTGCAAAAGTTACAGTCCTCGTAATCACGGACAGAAGCACACCTTATGTTCTTCAAGAGTCATTTTGCAGCCTTCTCCACAGGCAGCACACTGGAAGCCCGGCTGTTTTAGCCTTAGGTGTTTAAATAAACACTAACAATCCATTTTTATCAATCTGTGATCACACTTTAGTCTGATTAGAGTTCAAGCATTCATTTATCATCCAGTATGACCCCCCCAAACATCGAAGAAATCTTAAGACATGAAGTGTTTAATTTTATTATTTTAAGCATTTTATCAACATAAAAACTCAATGATGTGGATGAATATATTAATGAACATTTCCTCTTCAACTCCACACAGTTGCCTTCAAGTGTCTACAACAATATGTACACATCATTACACAAAATATCGCACGACACAGTATTGGCCTGTGGAGGGTGGAACCTTAATTTGCCTCATCAAAGGGAAAATTTCAAATTATTTGCCAAATCACTCGGAAGCTTTCTTAGTCAATGTTAAATATATTTCTTGAAACATTGGGCAACAATGACGTGTCTGACACCAAGGCTGAGTCGTCTAGGCTGGTTTGGTCCATCAGAAGTAAATTGTCTGGCTTAATGAACAATAAAAGTGAAACATTTCATAAACTCGACCTCGTGAAAAAGTCACAATAATTCTATTCCCTTTAGATAAAGTGACACAGTAATGGATTTCAAGTCATCATGTATATATAAGAATTGTATGGATACCAATAGAAGATTTACCCTCAGTTTTCATGAAGAAGAAAAAAAAAAATCTATCACAAAACAGAGTTAAGACACTGAACACCAGAAAGTATCTACTTAACAAAAACTGCATTTTTAATCACTCGTGCAGTTGCACACACACTCACAGACTAGCTTACCATGAACAACCTCTACTGTTTGGCTGTGAAACGGGAAGCTCTGAATACAGCTCTCGGGCGCTGATACCCAGGTTGTATCAGAGCATTCCAGTGATTAGACAGAACCTTGAATGTGCAGCAGTAGCCATCAGCAAACACAATCCGCTTCTAATGTAGGGGTCCTGCTCCTGACCTGTTGTACCCAGGTCTTAGCCCCATTCATGTCAATTAAAAACAGTCCGTAGGGTTGACTGTGTGATATGATGCAGATTGTTTTGGCTTGTGTTTCAAGGGCATCACCAGTTTTCATAGGGTGTATTAGCCTCCCTTTATGGACAGGAATATAGTGTAGTCTGGTGTTTTTCTAGAGGGAGAAGTCTGAAAACTTTACTCTGATGATGTCACAGTGATGTCACCAGACTATGAACTTTAAAAACAGGCGGTACAGAGTTTGGAAGACACAAGCTTTGGGAGATAGAAAAACGCCACATCATATGTTGCATTATAGAATATGTCAGGTTTACAGTATATCCTGGCATCAAGTTTAATACCCCTTTACATTTGAGGTCAAACAACATTTAAAAAAAAAAAA